ATATACAGCTATTTTCTCTTAGTTCAGTGAGAAAAAAGGTTTATACTAATAGTGTTTAGACAAGATATCATGTCTACATCTTGTACTCTGAATAACTACTATGAAGACAACAGTATGCAATGTAATAATTATTGTAACTGTCCTACTAATCTGTTTTGAAACTGTCTCACTGCTATTTGTTTCTCAATAAAATTAATTTAAAAAATCAATTTAGAGTTCATGTCCTATATCCTTGCACAATGTCTTATCGTTTTGCTTCCTCCAACACTAATTACTCTGTTTAAAAACAAAGCAAAAGGGGCTGGAGAGATGGCTCAGTGGTCTAAAGCACCTACTTGGAACAAGTTTGGCAAAGCACAGGGACCGCGGTTCAATCCTCCAGCACTACATGCCAGCCAGCCACCCCTCCTGGTGGGCTAAGCTGGCCACACACATACACACACACACACACACACACACACACACACACAATGTTAAAATAAAAAAATAAAAAAAAACAAAGCAAAAATTTGAAAAGCCTATAGGTCACTTTAGGGAAAGGCTCAGAGAGATTAACAACATAAATTTTTGGCACTGTAATAGGACCTTTCCTTCAGGAAATCCATACTTTCCATCATTTGAGAAGTTCTGGGTCTATAATCTACCTCAAGTCTGGGAATTGGTTGAGGGTCTGGTTTAGGTTAGACTTGCACTCACTCAACCTACAGGTCAAGTAAGAATTTATTGAGCTGCATGGCTTTTTCCCCCAGGACCAGAGCTCCCCCAAAGTGAACTGTAGCCATTCTCAATGCAACAAGAGCCCTAGCTCCTTTGACAATGAAAGCAGCTGAATTCATCAGGAAAGCCAGCATGACAAGCTCCTTCAAGAGACACAACAGCTCCTTACAGCTTCTAACAGCCCAACAGCCTTTCCAGTTCCTCCTCTTAGGCTGCTGGCAACAAGCCTCAGGTGGGCCTCTCACACCTAGCACAATGCTAGTTCAATTCAGCTGCGTGTAACAAGTTGACCACCAGTTGGCAATCTACCACATTCTACCATTACCCCACCTCCTCCTTAATTCTCAGAAGACACGATTTGCTTTGTATTGTAATCCAACCACTTCCTAGATAAGACTTGATCTTTCAGAAATCTCTGTCTATAGCCACTCAGATGAGGGCTTCTTTTTTTTTTTTTTTGCGGAACTGGGGATTGAACTCAGACCCTTGCGCTTGCCGGGGAAGAGGGCTTCTTATGCAGCCAATATGGCTGGTCACTTATGTAGAAATTGAGCTGTGGGGGCTGGTGAGATGGCTCAGTGGTCTAAAGCACCTATTTAGAACAAGTTTAGCAAAGCACATGGACTGAGGTTCAATCCCCCAGCACCACATGCCAGCCAGCCGCGCCCCCTGGTGGGCTGAGCTGGCCACACACATACACACACACACATACATACATACATACATACATAAATTGAGCTGTGAATGTGAGCCCTAGGCTCATCTTTTTCTCATTGAAAGGCCTTAAGAGCAAAACTGAGGTTTCTCTGAAGAAATTAGGCCTGGGCACTGTAGCATCAGTTCTTCCCACCTGCCCTATGGTTTCATACATGCCTGGCCAGTCCCTATGGTCAGGTAACTGATTGCAATCTGTAGAAAATATAAATACAGTAACCCCCATCTATGGTTTTACTTATCTATAGCCAACCATGATCGAAAATTGACTACTAAATTATTACTACAAAACTACTAAATGGAAATTGTAGAAATAACTCAGTTTTTATATTGCACACTGATCAAAGTTGTGTGATGAAATTGTACATTATATCACTGGGAAGTGAATCATCCCCTTGTCCAGAGTAACCACACTGTAGACACTTCCTGCCTGTCAGTTACTTAGATATTTTGGTTATGAGATGAGTTTGATACTAGGGAGGTTCTTAATCATTTTGCAGGTAAGGTAAGACTACTGTACAGTGGCTCATGAACTTTATGTGATCCATGATTCTAAGATGGTTAGTCATGCTGTGACCCAGTGCAGAGTGCATGAACAAAATGAAAATCCTGCCAAATGCTTCAGTTTGAGAATCAAATTATTCACAAACAAAACCATTTGTGAACTCAGGTACGCTGTATATCCTACTTTTCCTATTTCCACTGGTAGGGATGTGACTGACACAGATTTTGGTGATAAGCATGATTCCAGAAGAACAGAATCTTAAAGATGAGTTTACTGAATTGGTCTGGGGCTCCTGAAATTAGTTCTCACATCTGATTAGATGTAACAGCACTGGTGACTATTTCCAGTACAGGACACTGGTTGCCCATGTTATGGACAATAGAAACATGCAAAATATCACAATTGGATGCTCTTAGGAAAATTGGGTGGCCATGTATTTCACATCTTAGAACATTTTAAAGGTATAGAAAATTGGCTGGCACTATAGGCTTTGGGGCCATGCAATTAACTCTCACAACCCACCCACCACAGGGAGAGAGAGGTTATGGCTCTACTACAGAAGCAGGAGACAGGAACTGCCAGCTGCCTGGAGCCCTGGCCTCTTGCCAAATAGTGATGGTTTCGCCTCTGAATAGGCTTTCCCACCCAAGACTATAAATTCTTCATGGTTGCTTTCTTCAAACACCAAGACCTAATTCTGTTTGGCAACAGGCAAAACCTGGCTGTGCTTTACTCCTGCTAGGCTATTTCTCTCCTGCTTCCTAAAACCTTTCCTTCATTTCACACTCACTTACTTTCTTGCACACGAATTCCTGAACTCCAACCTCAAGACTCATCTTCCTCCCAGCAAACACTATTTTTTATAGTCTCTCAGTATTATCACTGCCATGTTATAGCTGCTCTAGTCCTGAGGCATGCTGTTTTTCTTGGAACTTTTTGCCACTCTTTACATTTTGAGATTTTTAATCTTGGTGGGTTCCTGTATAACCAGTAATGTTGAAATCAGGCAGTGGGGGCAAACTACAGGTGTAGTCTTATAAGACAAATCTTTCATGGCCTCGTCGGGGTTTAGCTCAGTGGCAGATGGGCTTGTCTGGTGTGTGCAAGGCCCTGGGTTGGATCCCTAGCACAAGAAAGAAAAAACAAAGGAAGGAAAAAGGAGGGCAGAGGAGGGAAGGAAGAAAGAAGAAAACCTGCCAACGGCCTTGCTTTACCATCCTTCACTAGTACAAATAAACCTTCTATAAAAGCAGCACTCAGGTTATCTGAAATGAACAACACAGCAGGCGACCACCCGGTGACAATGGACACACAGTATGTAAACTGCTAGGATAACACGAGTCTCTGCCACAGCAAGTCATAGCAAAACTTTATTGAACAGAAAACCCAGCAAAAGTTTCTACCTCTGCAAAGGTCCTCTGGGTTTAAAGAAAGCACTGCATTTTAAAAAGCAATTATACATAAGTCTTTCCTAGAAAAGTCCTGCTAACATGTCTAGCAATTTCCCTGATTATATAAAGTAGTACACTTAGTGTAATTTAAACATTCCAACAGGAATCAAATCGTACCAGCAGAACCATTTCTGCATCTATGACTTCTATGTACAAACATACATGCAGACACAAACATCTGGGAAAGTTCCTCAGGCATAAACATGCGACACTTAATGCCATCTACTTACAATGCTTATTGAACTACGTACAGTATATATTAAAGCTCTTCAGAATAAAGACATGAGAAGCCCTAGGCATTTTTGTTCATCAATTTGTATCATGGCTTCTTGTCTTTCCACTTTTGCTCAGTCACAAAAGCATACTATCATCCTTGTGGGTTTTCGGTAATGACTGTGTCGTGTCAGGTCCAGGTGAGGAAATCCAGCTGGTTAGACATCAGTCCACGCTCCTCAAAGCCTCTAGCCTCCAGAGCACAAGTGCTGTCAGTTTGCTATGGCTGGAGGGCCTTCCGGAAGGAGAGAGGCAAAGAAAGTCTTGAAGACGAGCCATGCTGTGCTCACAAACGAAGGGCTGCTCTGCTCGGCAGCCAGCGCATCCCGGTCTTGCGGGAGGCGGTTGGGGTCTTCCATTTCAGAGTCAGTGCCTTCCTACAGGGGTGAAACACAAGGAGAAAGCAATGAGGTCCACAGGTGACGTTACGAGAGGGCAGGCTAAGCTCCTGGCCCTTGCTATACACCAAGCAGCCAGGCTTGGTGGCGACCCTGCCCTGGGCATGACCCTCCCTGCAGAAGGTCTTCTTGAGCTTCTTTAGCACGACAATGCTGATGGCTTTGGGTGCTTTTGGATCAGAGCAGCAAGTATCAGAGCAAGTTAAGTTCCTGATGTTCAACTATTATAAATTAGTAATTAACCATTTCACTGAATGCAGGTATCCAGATTTTAGCAGTTCTGAGTTAAGAAAACAGTGATGGAAACCCAGATTTCTAAAATCATAATACAAAGGACAATTATTGCTATGAATAACCACTATGAAGAAAACAATACGCAATGTACTAATTATTGAAACTGTCCTACTAATCGGTTTTGAAACTGTCTCATTGTTCTCAATAAAATAAAAAGACAATTTTTGTTCTCAAAGTGAATCCTTTAGAATCATGCATTAATGTGACTTATAAAAATTCTGCTTCTAGGGGCCGGGGAGATGGCTCAGTGGAATAAGCGCTTCCCTGGAATAAGCGCTTCTCTGGCAAGTGCAAGGGCCTGAGTTCAATCCCCAATTCTGCAAAAAAAAAAAAAAAAAAAAAAAAAAAAAAAATTCTGCTTCTGTGTGTTATTTTCCAAGAAATCTATTCTATGAGGCATGCTTACGTGCCCAGACCTAAAAAAGAGCAGCTATCCATTAGCAGTTTCCATCACAGAATACACTGTGACCGATCCCTGAACCTCAAATGTGAGCTGAAAACACATTTATTTCCCTAAGCAAAAATGCCAATTGCCGCATGACAAAAAATACACAATGGATTTGGTGGCATGTCAAAAGTTTAAAAAAAAATATCTGCTACTCTAAGAATAAACTGAAAAACAATCATGAAATACCTGGCCTAATGAAATGGTAAAGCACGTATCTGGAGGCCTCCAGGTCAAGGCCCAGGGTTCCCTGGCACAGCACAGACAGCCTGCCCAGGCGCGGGCAGAGGCCCTGTACCTGTGAGTTGTTGTTCGGGTCCTGATTCACAGCTTCCTGAGGAGGACCATCACGGGGGAGGTTCTGAACGGGCCTCTGTCTGAACGGAAACCACCCAACGTGGTGCCTTTAAAAGAAGCACATCAAGTTTGTCTTAGCCAACATCACAGCGGGGTCGACTCAAGACCCCAAGCTCTGCTCCCCTAATCACAGCAGCACCCTGCTAGCTACATGTGCAGAGCCATCTGTCACTGGCGACAGACCTTTGCACAGGTCTGTGTTTTACTCTTCAGTAACAAAACAGCACCTGGCACACAGTATGTGCTTAGATGATGCTTGCTTATCTGAACTAAGCCTTACGCTTGACAACCTGAACGCAAAGGCCAAGCACGCATACACTATATATCTTCTATTTTTAAAAACAAAAATCTATTTTCATTATAAAGGAAAAATTCAGGTTCAAGCACAAAGAGCCATCTCTCTAGGCCAGGCTTTTGCCATCCAGCACTAGTGACATGCTGGGTACAGTATTGACTGCAGGAGCTGCCCTGTGCCCTGGAGGAAATCAAGCAGTCTCTCTCGCTGTACATCTACACATGCTAGCAGGGCCACCCGCCTAGCTGTGACAACCAAAAGTGTCTCCTGACATTGTCAAATGTCCCCTGGGAGGAGGTACAGAATTAACTCCAGCTGAGAAATGCTGTCCTAGTCCACAGCTGAAGCCAAACATCAGGTCTGAAGGTTTCCTGGCCCTTCAAGGTTATGCTAACCGAGCCTGACCTTCAGCCTGGAAGGCAGTGTAGCCCGAGAGAAACAAATATGTTCTTATTCAAAACAAATACAATATGGCTATGTTGTTGTGGCTTATGAGTCTGAAGCTAATTTATCTAGAAGAAAAAAGAATATTCTTTTTGTATTATCTCAAAAATGATAATACATTCTGGGGAATACACAACCAAGTCATGAATTCCTTGCGCTGAAAGTGCCAGAATGACATACTATTTAAACAAAGCTTCAATAACTGAAGACTGGGCTGGAGAGATGGCTCAGTGGTCTAAAGCACCTACTTGGAACAAGCTTGGCAAAGTACAGCGACCACGGTTCGATCCCCCAGCACCACATGCCAGCCAGCTGCGCCCCCTGGTGGGCTGAGCTGGCCACACACACACACACACACACACACACAATAAATAAATGTTAAAAAAAAAATTAAAAAAAAAAATAACTGAAGACTACTCAAAACAGAAAGTCTGTACTTGATTTGAGTCACAGATAAGTGTAATTTTCAGAAAAGGAAATTAAAAAGGAGAGAAACCATTTGCTTACAGGTACATGACAACGGTGGCCCCCATGACCATGAGGAATCTGCTCAGGGAGGAGTAGAAGTAGAGTATACTGAGAAAAACAGAAAATGTAGCTGCTGAATAGGTCCAGTCCAACCAATCTCGATTAATCTCATCATCTTCTTCCACAAGAGGGCCACCTTGTGCATTCATCCGCAAATTTTGATTGGCTCCAGGATTAACCACCACTTGAGGAGCTGCATTTTGATTGGCTGGCTGGTTTTCAGCAGGAAACTGGTTGTGAATTGGGGCTGGTGCAGGTGTAGAAACCACAGGTATCTCTTGGGCACTTGCTGACGGGACAAAAGCTCCTGATGCTGCAGTGGCAGCTAAACTAAAAACAATATGAGTAGATTGATGTTGAGAGCAAAGAATTTTGAGGACTGTACTCTTATTTACACAGGAGTCTTTTACTATTAACAATTTTAAGGTATATTTATACTTGATTTCTCTTTAATTTAGTGAAGAACTTCACCAATAGTCATATGTGTAAGCCACATAGTAAATTTCATCTAGAGTTAAATATCAAGGCCACTCTAAAATTATAGTATATTAGCAAATTAAAATTTTCACAAAACTTTAAAGACACCCCACATTAAAAAGGAGGCAACATACTTTAAATAAAGGCATTAACTTATGTACCAGACAGGTGCACCCAGGCACCAAAACATAAAGCAAGTAGCAGCTACTATTTATTCTCTACCCCACCCATAGAACCAGGAAGGGCAGGCTCTGCACAACTGATGAAAATGCATTCACCCCTCCACCCAGAACTTTATAGCACAATGGGATTTCTCTCAATCCCCAGGGACCATGGTCACATCCAGCAAAGCAGAAGGGACTTACTACTGCATGTAGTACTGCCGTGCATAGATCTGCTGGAACCAGGAGAGCTGTAGCCACCCGTAGGTTGTGTAGCCAGAGAAACCCAGGCCTTGGAATGCCTGCTGGACAGCTTCCGGTCTGTACACAAATGAAAACAAAACAACTCTTTTTGAGTTGGTTGAGTATAAATAACTGCAAACAATTGTAATCAGAACTCAGATCAGGACAGAAAGAAGAACAGGCCTCATGGCAGTTACAAGTTAGGTAACTGTCTGATATACTTGGGTAACACAAGTGCAGACAGTACCGCATAAGGAATCCCTCCCACCACAAACCAGATCCCACAGGGAACAGGAGCCCGCACGGGTTCTCATCCTGCCACTGACAGGGCAGCCCTGCATATTTTATGCACAAATGTACAAACAAGCTGAACTTTCCAAGTGATTAGATCCCCACCCCATTTTGATGTCCTGAGTCTTGCTGCAGACCTAAATCCACTAATCAGCTTTTAGGAAACAGCTCCAAAGCCACTTTCCCCCGCCAAGTCTTTCTTAAAATAAATCTCTTCTCTCTTTCCAATACCCACTTCTCCTGTCCCTAGATACGAATCTATACTGAGGCCGAGTTAGGCGTGCATATGGCACTCTCCTGCATAATTACTGACCATTTCATGTCTTATACAGGTGGATGGGACCCCAATAATCTTGTGAGGAGGGAACTCACCCTATTCTAGAAGGGCGCCTAGACCTAGGGTCAAGAGAGACATTGGGTGTGCGCAAGTTCACCAAGCTGGTACACAGCAGGGCTGCACCGGAGACCTGGCTTTGATGCCAAGCTCGTGGTTTTCCAGCCCAGAAGCAGCCCTGACCTGCTGGCGACAGGCGTGTGGGAGTCACCTGGGGCTGTGCACCTCGCTAGCAGCAACCCCTCCAGCAGCACTCCACAGAAGTGAAGTCCCAGCAGAATTGTAGGAAGATTACAGAGTATGTGGTCATCCTGCAGGTTACTCACAGCCTTAATCAGTTATATACAGTAGCTGTGCAAGGGCCAGGGATATAGCTCAGCAGCATGAGCGCCTGCATGGCAAGTGAAAGGTACTGAGTTCTATCCCTGGTACAGCAAAAAAAAAAAAAAAACAAAACAGAGCAGCTGTCCAGTAAACATTGTTCAATGAAATCAACACATTTATATATAGTGAAATTCAAGCAGTGAGATGTAGCTTTCAGTTCTCTAGTTGTATAGCTGGAAGAAAGTAGTTTTTCTATCTAATAACGTGTTCAATTGTCCAGACTGCGTGCTGACAGTTGCTTAACCAGTATTTTAAGACAGAATTCCAAGATCAGTCTTCATATGATGCTGCTTGATCACTGTAAAAAGTTACAGTGTATGGAAATAAGATAAAGGGGGGCCGGGGAGATGGCTCAGTGGAATAAGCGCTTCCCTGGCAAGCGCAAGGGCCTGAGTTCAATCCCTGGTTCCACCAAAAAAAAAAAAGAAATAAGATAAAGGGCTTTTAAATTTTTTGTTAGATCTGATGACAATGCAGTTATGCATGATATCTAAAAGGTTTCTGAAATTACATGCTGAAGTATGGAACAATGAGACAGCAGCTGGGCTTGGTGGCACATGCTGTAACCTGGGCACTCAAGAGACCGAGGGAGGAGGATCGAGCTGGCCTGTAATTTCAACACTCAGAAGGCAGAAGCAGCCGGGTAAAAGGGAATTTGAGGCCAGTCTGGACTACATAGTGAGTTCAAAGCCAGCCTGGACTACACAGCAAGATCCCGTCTCAAAAAAAAGCAATAGATAAAGCAATTGTGGAAAAACTGACTATTAAGCCTAGTTGGGGCCAGGGATATAGCTCAGTGGCATAAATGCTTTCCTGGCAAGCACAAGGTCCTGAGTTCAATCCCCAGTCCAAAAAAAGTCTAAATGATACTGGAGAGATTCATTATATCCTCCTCCTACTTTCATGTATTCTTGAAATTTCATTTAAGGAGAAAAAGTACTCCTTCCTCAATACCTGTATTTATTAAAAGTTAAATGAAAACTATAAGTAAAGTGGCAGGAGAACTCAAGTTACAGAATTTTAAGTTGTATTTAGTGTATTATTTTTCCCCAAAGTACTTTTATAACAAGGTGTTCCAAGAGCTATAAAATCCAGACACGAGAGCATGTGATCATCTCCAGCTTTGTTCTAACTAAAAGCTCTACGTGTACTGAAGGCACAGCTTGCCCCCAGCACCTCCACCACAGTCCTCGGTAAAACACTTCTTGGCCAACACCTTTTATCTCCGTTTGTTTATGATAGGCAGAGCACAAAGCTACTCAGCAAAACAGCTGCACTGTGCTTACAACAGCTGGGTTTGTTTGTTTGTTTTTCCTGCAGCAGGGCTAATTTCCTGCCTACCCTGAGAGTGGTCAAGTGACCACAATAGGAAACACCCCCGTGGCCAACTAAAACGCTTATATTTTCAATACATGCATTTTTTTTTCATTTTGTAAGTATGTTTGTAAAAGGTCATGTATTAAGAAAAAATAAAATGATCTGTAAAGTGATGCTTTTTATAAAACAAAACTTTCTCTGATTATACCTGTGTATACACCCTTTATTCTTACACCGATGCAAACAAGGGATATGTTGTATAAAGCTGGTTCTTTATCAACACTCACCGTGAGACGCTTTCCCATCCAGACGGAGAAAGGTTCTGAGGAACTTCCCTTTGCCTTAAACCATCACTTGAGGAATCCCCATGATATTGTCCCTGATTAGGTCCACGGGGCTGCTCTGTGGATTCAGCAACCTACGTTAGGTGTGACACGGAAATGAGAACAAGGGACCTGATGCAACTGTCTGAAATCAGGCTACAGCAATCCTTCTGCTGTGAACAGCATGTGTCCCCACCCTCACCCCTAAGCCCAGCAAAACGAAATCCATTCAGTGCTACTTCAAAAATATTCTAAAATTTATTCAACATAATTTTCAATATACAGATACTAGGGCTGGGGGTGTGGCTCTGTGGTGCAGCACTGGGTAGGTATTAAAAAATTGAGACTTTTTTCTGAAAGCAACTATGCTTGTAGCATTCCTAAAATCCTCCAAGGAAGCTATCGGGGGGGGGAAACGCTTCCTGCTGGTGCTTTACACATCTAATGATACTAAACTCACTCTCAAAATTAAATTCAACCAAATTCAACCAATTACTTTTTATAAGTACACCCAGCTAACAACCCAGGAAAAGAAAATGTTCTATGTTCAGATATTATGGGAAGAACAATGGTAACACAAATTTAGAGTCACCACTACATTAGAAGATTAATACCAAATATTCAAATAAACATGTGAAGGGCTGGGAAGATAGCTCAGTAGAGTAAGCACTTGCCTGGCAAGCACAAGGTCCTAAGTTCAATCCCCAGTACCGCAAAAAACAAAACAAAACAATCATATAAACATGTGAAATGAAAATGAGTGCTTTTTTTTTTTTTCACCTGGTCACTGGTATTTTATTGTCATTCTGCAAAAGTAAGCGCACACAGAAACAGCTCACACTGGGATCAACCTGTCCGGCTGAGAGCCCCTAAAGCGGCACCTTGAGTCCGTAACTCCCTTCAGTGAGTGTTTTTAGGGCCAGCCAGATAGCTCAGCGGACTAAAGCACCTGCTTAGGCAGAGTGCAGCGGCCGGGTTCGACCCCAGGTGTGTCATGCCAGACCTGCCCCTGAGGCACACTGAACCGGTGATTGAGACTGGGCATCGTGGCATGAGCCTGTAATCCCAGCGCTTGGGAGGCTGAAAATAGAAGGATCACTACGAGTCCCATCTATGTAGTGAGACCCTGTCGACCCTGTCCTAAATACATTTAAAAAAAAGGTGCTTTTAACTGTCGGACACATCTTTAAGATCACATACAAAAGACTGGCCTATCCCTATTCAAATAAATGCTGATGAGAGAAATGTCCAAAAGAAATATATGTTCATTTTTTAATTTAATTTAGTTTAATTTAATTTTTTTGTGGTACCAGGGATTGAACTCAGGACCTTGTGCTTGCCAGGCAAGTGTTTATTCTACTGAGCTATCTTCCCAGCCCCATATGTTCATTTTTTTAACTCTATGAAAAGTAAAGCCTTCTTAAAAGAAACTTGTTCTGTGCCAAACTCAGGGAGAGCCCCTTTTCAAGCGCCCCACTAGCTCAGTCTCCCAAGTGCACAGCATCCATGGGTCAGATCCTATCCCAGAAGTCAGCGCAAAGGTACGTCCACCTTCCCTCAAGCCTAATGGAATGTTTGCTCTCTATAGCAGGCTCTCTTGTGCTGATAACACAATTGCTAATTCCTGATACACCCTGAGGAAGAGATAAAATATGCTCAGTAAAAAGCCGTACACCTTTGTGAAGAATTTTCTCTTCCCTCCTTGATCCCTCCCTTGAGAATCTGAAGGACACAGACTGTTGTTACAAACATGAACAGGCATACCTTCACGCCAGCTTCAGGCACTTTGGAGGGCATCTTTACGTTGCATACCAGATGCAAAACGTGCCGTTTTTCCTGCTAAAAGCAATCAACAGATGCTGTAAGACCTCTGGAATTCAACCCCTGGCAAAGGCCTTGAAAATATTCCAAATATTGTATGGGTAAGTGACAGCAAGTACCTTCGGAAGAATGTCCCTGAGACACTGGTGATCTGACAACAGCTTTCCAGAATAAATTAACCTCTGGTCTTCTGGACGCTGATGGGGAAAGAAAGAATAACACAGGTCAGCATTCAGCTAGACAAGTTTCCCAGCTGCTTCATGCAAATAATCTGGGTATGTGTTTTCCTTCAGCATCATAGGAGAATTGGAAGACCTCACTTATTACACAACTTTTATTTAGAAAGTGCTTCACTTTAAACTGATCTGTAGCATGCAATTAAATACAGAATGGCAAAATATCTCCAGTCCACAAAAACTATGGCAACACACTTGACTGAACTCTCAGGGAGACTGCCTCCTGCCACAAAAATCTCAAATTGTTTGTGCTTGTTTTTTTTGTTTTTTTCCTTTAAAAAGCCAAACTATATTTGGGGTTTCTATAATAACTAACTGTAAAACCTAGTTTGACCTCAAAGAAAGTTTACAAGACTTGCATGGTGGGCCTTCACACAAGCCACCTAAATACTGCTTCATAAGCCTGAAGCAACTCTAAACGTGACCCCACAGAGGATTTCTGGGCATACAAACGTAGTTATAAATGTAACCTGTGTGTGACACTTCACACAATCAGCCTGTTGGAGTTAGCACCCCTATCTTAAAGAGGGGAGTCTGAGAAACCAACTCATCCAAAGTCACCTGCTGTAAAAGTGGCTTTAAAGTCACAGAGACTTTTATTTATTTATTTATTTTTTACCTTTTTTTTTACGGAACCAGGGATTGAACTCAGACCCTTGCGTTTGCCAGGGAAGCGCTTATTCCACTGAGCCATCTCCCTGGCCCTTCATATACTTTTAGACAAGCCTCACTTCAAAAACTATTTTAACTCCTTTTAAGTTGTACTTTAATAATTTCAAAGTATGTACATCAGTGTCAACATCCTGGAGACCAACTTGTTGACTGTTCTTGCTAGAATAGTCAATGAGGCAAAACTTGGAATAAAACTTGCTGTTCCTGCCAAATAACCTGAGATTAAGAAGCAGATTGTTTAAAACAAAATGGAAAAAAAAAAATTGCATTTGCTTTTTAACATAAATCAGGATTTGACAGTGGTCAAAATACATTATGTAAAATAAATATTGGACACTGCGTTTACACTATTCTCCTGACTTGACAGGTAAATGTTATCCAGATGAATTCACACTGTTGTAAATGTGCAGGCAACACCTCCCCACAAAAGGTTTGAAATCCAGTTCCCCGTGGATCTGAATTGTTTCCTTTTAAAAGCCTGCATTGGCAGCCCTTTCCTAGAAACAGGAGTGATGTTTCTTAAGCAAAACTTCTCCAAACAAGGCCTTTTATAACCGATGCAACCAGAGACTGCGCCTGCTCTGCCTGTCTATGGCCCTAACTGCCCCTCTCCCAGTAACCAGGCCACGTGGGTTCCCGCCCGCACCTATGGCGAAACCGCAGAGTGCTAAGCTGAATTCTACAGGGAACAGGAATGGAAGCTGATAAATAAATAAGGGACGCCCAGTTTCCTTTCAAAAGGAAAACTTACTCTTACATTCTTGAGAATATGCAACAAAACCAAACTGACATTCGTTACTGCGTGTTGGAGCGCTTCAGATAACAATAAACAATTTCCATTTTTTGTTGCCCGTCTGCCCTTTCCTGTGTGAGCAAAAATTACACTCGTGGGCAGCAGGGAACACTGCTGACACTTACATAACATCTGAGTACAAAGTAAATACGGAAAGGTCCAGCGCGCTCCCTGCATCACGTGGCTGGGAGGACAAGGGGCGGTGCCGAGAGTGTTGTTGACAGCTGTGTCCACCAAAACAAAGCAAGGAAGTCTCCCTAATCCAGGAACCAAAGTCTGAAAACCAGACTCAGGGCGACTCCTTCTGCCTGTTTCCTTCCTAAATTGCCCTTTGCTACAAAGTACACAGGGCTCCTCCTTGGGTCTAAGCAAGGATTCGAGTCCAGCGCTTTTGGGAGGGGCAGTCAGCAGAAGGTGGACGGGCAGAGCGAGAGCCACTGGGCGTGGACCGCAAGCACCTCCCGTCTGGGCGCTCCCTAACTCTCCAGCCTGGGCTGGACACCCGAACTCTCCTCACCCTGCTAGAAAGCTACATTCACAAAACTCATGTCTCACCCTTTAAAAAAAAAAAATCTCTAGCCAGGGTTGTAAGCCTCATTAGAACATTTAATCACCTGGTTGTTTGGGGAAAACGAGGCTTGGAGGGTGAAATGACTCACCCAAGGTCAAAGTGTTGTTCCCTAGTTTAGCTAAGGCCACATCTGGAGGATGAAGAAAGGATGTGGGGAGGTGGGGCCAGGGTCCAACAACCTTGGGGTCTAGGGATCGAGGGGAGGCGAGGTGTCAGCAGCCGGCAGCCCGTCCGGAAGGAGTGACGGCTGCTTAGAACGAGATGACAGCCACTGGGTAGGACAGGAAGCGGAACCACAGTCCTGCGAGGGTGACCGGGCGAGTACTGGTCATCCGCGGGCGGCCAGCGGAGGAAGAGGCTACAGGAAAGCGAAGGTGGACGTGGCATCCCCAGGGACCCCTCTCACCGGGCGCTCGGGGTAGACGCGGCTCAGGTGGGCCTTGAGGCAGCCCACGCTCCAGCTGCGGTCTCCGGTCAGCTCCAAGTCGCGGTGACGTTGGTTGGGGCTCTTCACCAGGAGCGTGACCTGCTCCGCCTCGGGCTCGGGCTCCATGTCCACGGCGCTGTGAGCTCCGCTAAACTCTGAGATGCCAGGTAGGGGGCGACTTAACCGTTCGATGATCAGCAACGACAGTTCCCTCTTTGGGGTGCGCACCCCAGCCTGCCGCACCTTTTATAGACCACCCGGGCTTCAGCTCTGCAGACAGAACTCTTTGTGGCTGCCGCCCATTGGCTGAGGCAGAGGTCACTGACCAACGTGGCCCAATCAGCACCGGGACCGAGGCGGCGGAGGGGCGGGCTGACTACGTGGGCGCGGGCTGATGCAACCCTCAGCGGGCGCGTCATGCACGGTGGCGGCCGCGACTCTGGTGCCTGGGTTCGGTGGCCATGTTTGGGTGCGCTGCAGCGTGCCGGGGACTCCTCACTTAGGAGACCCGGCTCCCCGTCTCGGACTGCTGCAGGCGCCTGAGTGCGCGGCGTCCAGGCCGACTCCCAGTTACCAGTCTGCAAATTGTTTCCTCACAAAGCAGCACCCCACCCTTTCTGACCCCAAGCACCAAAACCCACTTCCCTCTCTGGACCCCCGGTGGCCCCACAGCCCGTCCCCGGGACGCTTCCTCGCTCCAGACTTTGGCTGCTGTGCTGACGTGGGCGCCCGGACTGCCCCAATCGAACCCACCCACTCCCAGGGGGTGGGGTCGGGCGTCCCGCATGCGCACTAGGAGGGCCAGAAGCAGCAAGCAGGTGCCTCCAGGCTCTCGCTGCCCTCTTACTTGTGACTCCACGCAGAAGCGCTATACCCTCTGGTGTGGAACAGCATCATTATGCATGGCCAGACTGCAGCCTACACAGGGGGCATCATTTGATTTGTAGGACATCAGACATCAACACCTGCTTGCTTTAAATCAGGGCTGAAACAAGGAGAGCAGGGATAACAGATTCCCCAAACTAGCCCACAAAGGCCGCTCTATAAAAAACAAAAACAAAAACAAACAAAAAAAAAAAAAACCCAAAAAAAAAAAAAAAAAAAAAAACTGATGTTGCCCTGGCCTCATCCTTGTCCCAATCTCTTGCAGACGTTGTGTGTGTGTGTGTGTGTGTGTGTGTGTGTGTGAGAGAGAGAGAGAGAGAGAGAGAGAGAAACTTACCCAAGTGACACGCCAACGGGGGACATCTGCTCATGTTGGGGAGTGTATAAGCACGCTACAGTTGCCATAAGGAAATAGCATAAACCAGATGGTTTAAGCAACAAAAATTTATTCCTGCAGTTTTTTTTTAATTTTTTATTTGTGTGTGTGTGTGTGTGTGTGTGGCCAGCTCAGCACACCAGGGGGCGGGGCTGGCTGGCATGTGGTGCTGGGGGATTGAACCGCAGTCCCTGTGCTTTGCTAAGCTTGTTCTAAGTAGGTGCTTTAGACCACTGAGCCATCTCACCAGCCCCTTTTTATAAGGATTTTTTTTTTTTCTCCTCCAATGCCTTCAGGGCCCTTTTGGCTGGCTGGAGTGTTGTGGGGATGGAACTACAGCAACCTGAGGCTGCCAGCTTTGTGGAAGCAGCCACTTAAAGAACTGAGCTAGGGCCAGGCCCCCTGTTCCCGCAGTTTTGAAGCTGGAAGTTTGAGATCAAGGTGACGCTCAGGATGGCGAGGGAGACTGTTCCGTGTTTCCCTCCTGGCTTGCCCTGGTTGGCAGGCAATGCCCGGCATTCCCTGCCTTCCTGGTACCTGGCTTCGATCTCTGGCTTGCTCGACAAGTGGCATTCTGCACCTTCACCCTATCCTCCCTCTCTGCACATCTGTCTCTGTGCAGATTTCCCCTTTTTATAAGGATATTATATTGTCATAGAGAAGTGACCCCCAACCTTTTAGGTGTCAGATGTGCCAAACTCATGTCTCTAGATAACTAAAGAATGGCTAGGAGGTCAAAGGAGGTTAAAAGTAGGAAAAGCTTATTGAGAAAAAGCTCCTAAGGGTCAAGAGGGGTCCCGAAGTTCAGCTTTCACTGAGGCTCTTTGTGTGTTTTGATACATGAAAATGACCACCTCTCAAACCACTCTGGGCTAAGCTCAGGCCGAGCTGCAGTGTTACAAGCATAGTAGTTTAGCTAGTACTGATCGGATAGGGAAGGAGGCAGATAGAAGAAGTGGGCACCACTAACTTCAACTGGTCTGTAACTTCTAACATAGATCAAGGACATTTCAAGAAGGGACAGGAGTCTGGGTTGGGGTATCCTGGTCATCACCTGTACATGTGACAGCTTATCTAGGCTCACTGGACCAGATGGTGCTGATCACAGTACAATCTCAAACTGCTGTGTATCTCTAGGGAGGCCTGCAGGCCTGGCTGTCTTCCAGTTCATCTCTTGCAACAATTGTGAAGTGTGTCGTCTTCTGTACTGACTCCCTTGAGGGCCTGGCCCCTCTCTGACTGCTGCTAATTCCTATCTAATTTAGCTGTCTATAGTAATATTAAATCAGGGTCTACTCTAATGACCTCATAACACCTTCACTTGCCTGAAGGGGATATGCTGGGGGATGGGCCTTCTATAGAGGACCACCTGAGCAGCTCTCCTTGAAAGAAGAGTGACTATCTATTTTGACTGAGCCTGACCCTGTTTCCTCATATTGATATGTACAGAGCTGGCTAGGACTTCTGTTTATCCTTCAATTGGCCTTAAGCAATATATGTTGGCCTAGCTGAGGTGCTGGTGATAGTCTTTGAAGGTGGCATGCATGTTTCCCTGGTAACTTACACCTGCTGCTCTTTAATGTGAGTCAGGTTGAGACAGGACAAAGAGCCAATGTTTAGCGCCGCCAGCTGGGATTGAGCCTCGAGATAGAGGCTATGACTTCCTGAGGCTTGAAAGACTACATCAAAGCTGAAGCACCAGACTCCCAAAAACATTAGATACTATCTCAATAGCATAATGCAGATTACTTTCTCTGCATATCCTCTTTGCATATGGCAGAGGTAAATGCAGGCCACCCACCTAGCTCAGCTCACAGTACTCACCTACTTCCCACAATTCTTGGTCATTCCTCCTCAAGCCACTCCTCCACTACATAAAACCAGTGAGGCCCTGGGTCAGCCTCTTTGCTCCAGAAAACCATCTTCATGGCTGGACTTAGGGCCCCTTGGCTCCCCAGTAATTATAAATATGTTTTAGTATCTTTCTCTGTGGGTTGCACTGGGAGTGGTAGATTGGAATTAACGTGGTAGGATTACAATAATATATCTTTGGGATTACAAATATTAACTTCTTGGACTGAGACAAGAACCAGAAAAGGACTCCTACAGCCTTCCAACTTCTATTTGGAGAACACAATGTGCCCTGTAACTTCTAGGAGTTTGCTGGCCATCCACCCCCAATATAACACAGAACACATCTATTTTTATTTAAGAAGAGAGGCTGAGGGCTTAGAAGATAAATTGTCCCCATGTTCAGTGTCTTTGATTGCTTTTTGTCTGCTGAGCATGGGTGATGTTACCCTGCTGTTTCCATCTTGAAATGTTTCATAAGTCATTAACAGAAGCATATTTTTATTTTGTGCTGGACCCTACAATTATCTAACTTTTCATAAATGAGGATGGAAGATAATGACTGATTATGATTTGGCAGTCTTTCTACTAGTTAGAAACTAACTAGTGGGTCAAGACCAGTAAGGCAAGCAGAGGCTTTGGAGGAGGCATCCAAGCAGGAGAGAAGGGCTTCCTTGCCAATAGCATGCTGTCGCCAGCCTATAGGGACTGCTCCTCCGTTTCTATTAGTGTAGGACAGGAAAGGAGTGTGATGCTGCTGCTGTTGTTTTTCCCAGAGAAAAAAGCCATCCAAAGTCTTTACTTCTTCTTCCTTTTTTTTTTTTTTTTTCCTGTGGAACTGGGGATTGAATTCAGGCCCTTGCACTTGCCAGGGAAGCACTTATTCTACTGAGCCATCTCCCCGGCCCCAAAGTCTTTATTCTTCTTACTTCTTGTCACACCCAATTCATGAGATAGTTCCTTTTAAAGGACTTCGGTGAGTCTGCTTATAGCACAATTAGAAAAACATTAACTTGAAGTTAACAAACACGCCAGGAATAGAAAGTAAAGGCTACCATAACCCTATTCTCAGTGACCCTACAAATCTAATGGGGGCATTAGCAAAAAGGAAAGACAATCCAAAAGTCACTTGTGTTTCTGCAGAACTTGCAGTTACACTGAGGGGTTCCCCAGGGACGAAGAGGAGAGGTGAGAGAAAAAGCTTGATGAAAGGTGGAAAATTTTGACTGACCTCTGAGGGACAGGTGACATTTAACTAAATAGAATGGCAACAGTTATTGGCAGGGTCAGTAACTTTAAATAGAAAGTATGAATGGGCAGTTATCCGTCAGTGGACCACTGTCTGTTTTGAAGCCCAGCATTTGTCACTTATTAGCTGTGACCTTAGTCAAGTTACTTAACCTCTCTGTATCTAACTTTTCTTTCTTTCTTTCTTTCTTTTTTTTTTTTCTTTTTGTGGTACCAGGGATTGAACTCAGGACCCTACGCTTGCCAGGCAAGCGCTTATTCTACTGAGCTATCTCTCCAGCCCCTGTATCTAATTTTTCTTGTCTGTGAAGTAGGAATGATAATGATGATAGTAAGTACCTGTCCCAGAGCTCTTTTTTTTAATTTTTAAAAAAGTTTATTTATTTATTTATTTATTTATTTATTTATTTGGTACAGGGTCTCTCTATGCAGCTGGGAGTAGTAGTAATCCTCCTGTCTCAGCCTCCCCAGCACTGGGATTACAGGTGTGCACCACCAAGCCCAGTTTTGGCAGCCAGCACAGCATGCCCAGCATTCAGAGTCCAGAAGGGCATGTGGTACCGGAGCTTGAACCTGGGTTCTTTCTCTTCCCAGGTAGGTGCTTAGAACACTGAGCTGCCTCCTGAGCCCCCAAAAATGCAAATTTAAATGAAAAATAATGCATTCTTGATTATTGTATGTCACACAAGGAAAACTGCAAAAATATTTATGTTATAAAGTGAAGAAGCCATATATTAACAATAAGACTACTTTTATGTTAGCCAATCTCTTATTTACCAGAAGAAAACACTTCATGAACACTATTTTTAAAAATGTGTT